TCAAAAATGGCCGCGCGAAAAAAAAAAGACGCCACTTTCCATACAAAATCTGGCATTGCCATTAACGCGTGAATTTTTTATAGACAAATGTAATTCAGTATAAAAAAGTAGGGTAAAATATTCCGTTGACCTGTGGCAACACTTACAAAATACAACCGTGATTTTTTTTGAAAATTATTATTAAATTAAAATGAATTGGAAATGTGCTACTTACGGATAAAACATGATCCTATGCACTTTCTTCGTAATTCCAGTAGCATTCTTACATGTTGGAACGGCACAAGACGGCATAATTTAATTATAAAGTGTCAATCTGACGGATATGTAAACAATGCGCGCGCCGGCCATTGACTAATTGCTCTAAAGTCAAATTAGTGCGATTTGGAGTAATTTATATGAATACACATTTACGCCCGTTGACGGTTTCTGGTTTGTTCCGTATTCTGAGTCGGGACTTTATTTAGCCTAGTTAGGTGGTGAACATAGCAAAAGTCCCCGCCCTTAACCCTTGAGCCGGCGGGGAGAGGGGGGTTTAAAGGTACCACTTTTCGGTTTTTCGCTTAATCCTCGGAAACTATGCGTCCTAGTGACATGACTACTATGAACCAAAAAAAGCTTATTCAATTTACTACAGGTGAGACCGTCAAGTTTTTCTATATCTTGTATAGTTTTTGCGGCATCTGCTCTAGAAGGTCTGTAAAATTGGAAATTTTATTGTTGTCTTACATGTTCCTTTCAGGAGAAAATCGACTAAATCAACATTGAGCAAACACTATTAAGTCTCAACACATGAGCCAAATTTGAAGTGTTAATGCACAGTAGTTTTTGAGTGATGAGGAGTCAAAAGTGGCTCAAAGTGGTTCGTCTAAATATACGCACGGTGCAGTCCCCTCCCTGGAACTAGGCTTAACATGCTCCCGCATGTCTAGAATGATTGCTCAATGTTGATTTAGTCGATTTTCTCCTGATGGAAACATGTAAGACAAAAATAAAATTTCCAATATTACAGACCTTCTAGAGCAGATGCCGCGAAAACTATACAATTTATAGAAAAACTTGTTTATCTCACCTGTAGCAAATTGAATATGCTTTTTTTGGTTCAAAGTAGTCATGTCACTAGGACGCATAGTTTCCGAGGATTAAGCGAAAAACCGAAAAGTGGCACCTTTAAACCCCCCTCTCCCCGCCGGCTCAAGGGTTAAGGGCGGGGACTTTTGCTATGTTCACCACCTAACTAGGCTAAATAAAGTCCCGACTCAGAAATTGTGTTCTACAGTTTTCCATCTATAATGCTTTATTGACTGGACTAATTGTAATCTTTTTGAGAAATAAATATCTTTAACCATATTTTATTAACAGTTCGAGTCGTAATTGCTTAGAACTGATTAACTGACATTTTAATCCGGACGGATGCGCGAGCATGCCTCGGAACCGGAAGCCGGTTGGCTCCGAGCGTATTCCAGCGGATACGCGCGCGCATTCCACTTCCACCACATTGTGGGTTGAACGGACGCTGCGCTGCGCGCCAACTCGCGCTGGTCAATGGGAATCCTGCCTAAAGGGTTTCCACGTCCGTCCACACTGACACCGCGAGGTAGTGGTAGTGGTGACGCGGACGCATCGAACAAGAATACTTTAAAAATAACTATAATTGGTCATAATCTCAAAACTCATGATTGAATAACCAATCGGATTTCATTATTTCCACTTCTCCGCTTCGTTCGCTCCGTGTCAAGCCGGCGCACGGTGGTCTGAAAATGAAGCTCCCATACCATAGAAACTTAATGTCAGAAATTAATCAATAAAAATATGTATTATGTTTAGTATACCTCCCTTTGTGTTACTAATATAGTATGAAGGGTATATGTAGCTCCATGTGTGAGAAAAAAAATATTTTCATTTTTTTTGTATGGAAAAAAACACTTAAAGTGGATTTTTTTTAAACTGAATAGAACTGAAGGGCTGGTACTCACATGAGCTATTGCACCATACACGGCGATCAAGATGACATACAATTCTTGTGCCTTTGGGTGCCGCTTTGCATATACCAAGCTTTGGAAATTTTGAATTTTCGGTAGGTGATCTTTCAAGTCTTTGATGTTATTTTATGAAGTTATTAACCGCTTTCAATACGAGAATAGTATGTAAATTAATACTCATATAACTAGGAATATCCTTGGGGATATTTTTAAATAATTTTTATTTTGAAAATATAAAAAAAAAATGTTTAATCATTGAATGAAGTAACCAACCAGTTGGTAACTGACATTGTTATTAGTTACTAACCTGCTAATGACGTTTTAATGAAAATAATAGAAATCAATATTGATTAAATAAACAACTTAAAAAATCGAACTGCCTAATAGGCCAGTAGAATTTTAAAATCGGAAATAATTCCTACAAAAGATTTTATTGTTTCAATGGCTTCATTTGTTACCCATTAAGACTATCCTAAATTTTTGACTTCGACGGAGTTGTGCTAAAGTGGTGGGGGCCCCCGAAAGGGGCGTTTTTTCGGTTTTACGGTTATATCGCGTAAAAGACTTGCCCTATCGAAAACTGGTTTTCATGACGGTTGAAGAGCATTTAATTTTAATCCTGCATTGAATAAGACCAAATTCATATGTTTTGGAAAAACCGTTCTCGTGCTTATCTCCGAAAAAGTAGGTACAAAATGTAGGTACGTATAATTAATCCACGTCCAATGGCTCGATACCCGCAGGATTCCAAGTTTTGAAAAGGACCGCCTTAACCAGTGTAACCCTGTCAAGGCTTACGAGCTGGATGCGCCTATATCTTGTTCGTCCCCAGCCATTCGATACGTTGTATAATCGATGCCTGGTATGGTCACACAGAGTCGTTCAGGAGAGTGCAAGAAAGAGGTGCAGTAACCGCAGTTAAGGAACGGCTGGGACAAACAAGGATAGGTGCATCCATCTCTTAAGCCTTGACAGGGTTAAACTGGTTGAGTCGGCCCTTTACAAGGCTTGTGACGAGCCATTGGACGTAGAGAGGGTCAATAATTATACGTAGGGTAAGGTGGGGCACAATGTTACACGGGGTACAATGTTACAATGCATATTTCTCCGTCCCTTTTTATAGTTGTAAGATGTTCAGCTTTCTATTAGTTGTATGATGTTGGTATACACGTTTGTCAAGCTCATAAGAGCTGCTGAACTGAGCCGCTGAACATCTTACAACTATAAAAAGGGACGGAGAAATATGCATTGTAACATTGTACCCCGTGTAACATTGTGCCCCACCTTACCCTACGTATAATTATTGACCCTCTCTACGTCCAATGGCTCGTCACAAGCCTTGTAAAGGGCCGACTCAACCAGTTTAACCCTGCCAAGGCTTAAGAGATGGATGCACCTATCCTTGTTCGTCCCAGCCGTTCCTTAACTGCGGTTACTGCACCTCTTTCTTGCACTCTCCTGAACGACTCTGTGTGACCATACCAGGCATCGATTATACAACGTATCGAATGGCTGGGGACGAACAAGATATAGGCGCATCCAGCTCGTAAGCCTTGACAGGGTTACACTGGTTGAGGCGGTCCTTTTCAAAACTTGGAATCCTGCGGGTATCGAGCCATTGGACGTGGATTAATTATACGTACCTACATTTTGTACCTACTTTTTCGGAGATAAGCACGAGAACGGTTTTTCCAAAACATATGAATTTGGTCTTATTCAATGCAGGATTAAAATTAAATGCTCTTCAACCGTCATGAAAACCAGTTTTCGATAGGGCAAGTCTTTTACGCGATATAACCGTAAAACCGAAAAAACGCCCCTTTCGGGGGCCCCCACCACTTTAGCACAACTCCGTCGAAGTCAAAAATTTAGGATAGTCTTAATGGGTAACAAATGAAGCCATTGAAACAATAAAATCTTTTGTAGGAATTATTTCCGATTTTAAAATTCTACTGGCCTATTAGGCAGTTCGATTTTTTAAGTTGTTTATTTAATCAATATTGATTTCTATTATTTTCATTAAAACGTCATTAGCAGGTTAGTAACTAATAACAATGTCAGTTACCAACTGGTTGGTTACTTCATTCAATGATTAAACATTTTTTTTTTATATTTTCAAAATAAAAATTATTTAAAAATATCCCCAAGGATATTCCTAGTTATATGAGTATTAATTTACATACTATTCTCGTATTGAAAGCGGTTAATAACTTCATAAAATAACATCAAAGACTTGAAAGATCACCTACCGAAAATTCAAAATTTCCAAAGCTTGGTATATGCAAAGCGGCACCCAAAGGCACAAGAATTGTATGTCATCTTGATCGCCGTGTATGGTGCAATAGCTCATGTGAGTACCAGCCCTTCAGTTCTATTCAGTTTAAAAAAAATCCACTTTAAGTGTTTTTTTCCATACAAAAAAAATGAAAATATTTTTTTTCTCACACATGGAGCTACATATACCCTTCATACTATATTAGTAACACAAAGGGAGGTATACTAAACATAATACATATTTTTATTGATTAATTTCTGACATTAAGTTTCTAATTCTATGGTATGGGAGCTTCATTTTCAGACCACTGTGCGGCGCCGCTGTCAACTTCTATAAAAAAAAATAACGGCCCGACGTCTTCTCCACTCCACCTTGGTGAAAACCGGGCCTTGGGGCATTGGGGCCATTTGGGGCACGAATTGGGGTCACCAATAGAAAGCCTATCACAAAATGTCAAAATTCCCCAATGAATTTTGTGATCAATATCCCAACAGATTTAATGGATATTTGAGTAAAAATAACACTAACATGAATCCAACATATTTTTTATTACATTTAAATATAATAATTGATTAAATACATTCAAAGCTTTGAAACAAAATATTGAACAATACATATTTTTTATGTATTTCAAATTCAGATGTTTAATGCCCTATTTAATTCTACAAAATGATGATAACATTGTAGATTAATGTAACAATATACAGAGATTTTAGAAGTTTCTTTTTAATTAAAACTACCTGAAATAAAATTTTTAAGGTCCTTTAATTTTATCCAATACTTCTTTATAAGGTGGGTTAATAGGTCCTTGTACGGGTTCTTTGTATTCATAAGAACTTTGGCCTTCAAGTAATAATGGGTATGATGTATCAGAGTCATAAGCGCTCAAGTCTCCACAAGCATTGAACGGAACAATAAATCTGTTTGGTCCTGTGAACTGATTAAAATCACAATATTTATGATCAAGTAAGGGATTTACCATAGTGGGCACATAACCCTCAGGTGGTTCATAGCTTTGACATATAACAAAAGCTTCAATGCTTGAATTCCTGGAACTCCGAGGTTTGGAAACAGTAACAAATTTGAAAAACTGTTTTAATTGAGAATACAGCAAAGTTACATCTTTTCCTCTAAATATTTTGGCTACAAACACACCGCCTGGTTTTAATACATGTGTAGTAATGTTCAATGCAGCAAGTAAAAGTTGGGACTGAACATATTCATCAATATCATGTAATCCTGTCACATCAGGTGCCCCATCACAGACCACCAAATCAGATTTCAGTCCTTTGAACTCTTTGATTATTTCATTAGCTGTAGAAAGCTTCGTGATATCGCCTTGGATTTGAATCACTCCGGGTAAAGCAGCCATTGCCTGCAAGTCTACTGCCACTATTTTAACGTCCTCGTCATTTTCAGCGTTTTGTCGCAGTTTTTTCGTTAGCACCTGACTCCAACTTCCAGGAGCTGCACAAAGGTCTACTGCTCGTAAGACTCCGTCGAATATATTGTACTCTTCATTAATTTGCAATAATTTAAATGCGCTTCTGGCGCGCCACCCTTCTTCTTTAGCTAACCTGTAGTAGATATCACGTTTGTCTTTAGAAGTTTTACCCATTTTGTATTCCTAAGCTCTGCAAAATCTTTAGGCTGGTTCAGCAATCCAATAAAGTGGTTGTTTCTAGCTATTGCTTGATGTTGATGATTTTTTTACGAATCTTTACTCAGGGATGCATGAATGGATGGTGGGATCAAACATAGAGGGATCAAAGGTGGGATTTAGGCCACAGATTAGAGAGTATGTCTAAAGATTTAGGCTGTGGATCATNTAGCACAACCATTAGATGGGGAAGGAATTAAGTTTTCCCTAATGATAGCCTCATGTGCTTCACGGTCATAGCTTTTGCCTAATGTGGGAGTGGAACGAGGAGTTTTGTATACCGTTTTTTTGTAGGATGAAACAAGATTAGGAGACTTATCCTGTACTATTTGGGAATTCGATTTTGCTGTAACTATGTCTGCATAAGACTTGGATACTGGTGGATGAATTTTTGAGGCTTCTGCATATGACATGGAGTTATTAGCCATAGAAGTTTTTATGTTTTTCTGTCTTAGAAATTCAGGGCAGGATTTACTTGTGGCATAGTGGAACCCAGAACACAAACAGCATGATGCTTTAATTTCGTCAGTTTGGCATGTGTCGCCAGCATGACCTTGGCTACACTTGAAGCATCTTGCTTTGGAACGACATTGAACTTTTGTGTGTCCAAAACGGCAACAATTATAACACTGGATAGTGGGAAAAATGTAAAGCTCTACAGGTAAGGCATTATAACACATAAATATGCGCTTAGGTAATACTTGTCCATCAAAAGTTAATACAATGGATTGAGATGGTTTCCAAATAGGAGCACCATCCACAAAGACTTTGTAATTCAGCCGCCTAACTTTTATAATTTTACCACAATCATCTGGTACTGTAATGTTTTCAATTATTTCCTCCGGTGACCAATCCGCTGGTATACTTCTCACAAGGCCCATCCTTGTAACATTAAAGGAGGGAATGAAGGCTTTGTAGTTTTTGGTCACTAAACTATTGTGAGTTAAAAACAGGTTCGCATGGTTGAAGTTCGAGAATGAAATCGAAATTTTGTTCCGGCCAATTTGCTTTACACTACCATTAACTATACATTGAAAGGAATTCTGTTTCAGGAATTTCCCAAATGAGAGTGCGTGCATTGACGGACCTTCATTTGGGCTAGTTTCGATCTTCTGAACATGGACTACGTAGGGCGCACTGTCTGATTCATTATACAGATTACGAGCAATTGGAGTAGGGTTGGACGGAGGCAAGTCAGAGATACTAGTTGCAGGTGCAATGACCTTTTGCTGTGTCTGTGGAACATCTTGGTGATCCATATCAGTAGATTCTTCTGTCATATTTTTAGCAAGAAGTCTACGTTCAATTTTAGCCTGATGTTTACGACTTTTCTTATTACGGCTACGCTTGCGAGGGCAAGCTGTTGAACCCGATGTGGAATTATCGGATTCCCAACCATGGTTAGATGTAACCGTAACGAAATGACCCGCCGGCGGAACATTACTAGCATCAAGGGAAATTTCATCGGGCGGCAGAGAACCGCCCGGATCGGGCGGGTCGTTCATTGCGGCTCCAAGTAATTAAATAAATAGACTCACCGGTAGTACAGCAAGATTTAAACACTATCTACATAAAATATATACACAAAACAATAAATTTACAAGAACACTATACAATACTGATCTATTTATATGCTAAAACAAATTTACAAAACTTTTGAACCAAAAAAGACGCCCGTCGCGTTCAACGTTTCCCGCGCTTTTTTTTCTTTTCTTCTTCTTCTTCTTTTATTTTGGCGACGGCTTGGTTTTGAGAACCATGATTTCGCCAATGTCACGTAAACAGCTTTGACAAAGTTACAGGGTTTTAAGAGAAAAAAAAAAAAAGAAAATATTTAAGTTTTTAACAATAAGCGAAATTATTTGTGTGAGTACCTAAAACAAAACAAAAAAGACGTCACAAATTGAGACAACACAAATATATACATAATACAGGGGTTAAAATAGTTGGGAGAAGGAGGGTAGGATGGGAGATTGGGAGGGGAAAAATAATTTTGATTATACCTACAAGCGAATTTTTCGGGATTGGATAAATTTTGATAATTGTTTTAAAAGCGGAGGATTCATGGAGTTTAGTAAACATTTAATATTAGTAGGGCGAGGGACGCTGTCAGGGAGGAAATCTAATAAGGATGAACCAATGTTTGGACAATTAAAAAAAATATGATTGGTTGTGCCTTCGTCTAAGCCACATTCGCACAAGGAACTATCCTTTATATGCATCTTCGCTAGGTGAACCGGAGTACACGCATGACCAATTCGCAACCGACATATAATTGAAACAGAGCTTTTAGGAAGGTGTTTGTATTTAAAAAACCAAGGTCTAGGGGGAATATCTTTTTGGATATCTGCATAATATTTGCCAGCCAACCTTTTTGAGTTATCCCAATGAGTTCTCCACGATTTATAGAGATGGGCTTGAGAGAGAGATGCAGCATCGTGTGAGAATAAAAAGTAGTGCTCTAGTGAACCAAAGGATATGGCATGTTTAGCACACGAGTCGACAGATTCATTACCTGGGATTCCTCTGTGACTAGGAATCCAAGCCAATACTATGTTGATATCATTCAGTCGACAATCGAAAAGGGCTTGTCTTATTTTTAGAACTGTGGGGAATTTTACTTTGCATTTGAAAGGGTTAGCCAAAATTGATTGTAGGCAACTAAGGGAGTCCGAGAAGATTAAAACGTTATTTAACGAATGGGATTTCACATAAAGTATGGCTTCTAAGATAGCTGTAGCTTCACCGGTGAAAACCGATGTAACCGGGGGACATTTAAAGCTAAGTGCGACTTTGTACACAGGTATCCACACTGCGNTCTAATTTTGCATAATGTTTTCTACGGCCGTTTACTGTAATCAATCCATATCCAAATCCGTCTGTCAACTGCCAAATTAAAATCTGTTTTCTATCAAATATCCACAGTTTTCGATGCCTTTACACTTTCTTAATGTTTTAATTCATCTTAAAACAAAAACATCGAAAACCTTTTTTCATAATCATATTAAGTGCACTTTATCAAGACACACTGTTTAAACGTAAATCAGTCTTTGTCGTCCTGAGAAAAATAAATAAAAGGTTACCCTACTTAGAAAGAGAGAGCCTGCCCACAGAGAGCGAGATAGTGATACATAGGTTGTGCTTCAAGTAGGTATTCTAAGTCTGGCCTCCATTTTTATCTTTAGCTTCATGCTGTGGATTTAGGGCATAGAGTATATTATAGGAGATTAATAAAAAACAGTGTTGCCAGTCGGGTCTAGTCAGAAGTTACCAGAAATATAAAAAAGTAACCTTTTTGAATAAAAAGTAACCAGNATCCTAAATTTTTGACTTCGACGGAGTTGTGCTAAAGTGGTGGGGGCCCCCGAAAGGGGCGTTTTTTCGGTTTTACGGTTATATCGCGTAAAAGACTTGCCCTATCGAAAACTGGTTTTCATGACGGTTGAAGAGCATTTAATTTTAATCCTGCATTGAATAAGACCAAATTCATATGTTTTGGAAAAACCGTTCTCGTGCTTATCTCCGAAAAAGTAGGTACAAAATGTAGGTACGTATAATTAATCCACGTCCAATGGCTCGATACCCGCAGGATTCCAAGTTTTGAAAAGGACCGCCTTAACCAGTGTAACCCTGTCAAGGCTTACGAGCTGGATGCGCCTATATCTTGTTCGTCCCCAGCCATTCGATACGTTGTATAATCGATGCCTGGTATGGTCACACAGAGTCGTTCAGGAGAGTGCAAGAAAGAGGTGCAGTAACCGCAGTTAAGGAACGGCTGGGACGAACAAGGATAGGTGCATCCATCTCTTAAGCCTTGGCAGGGTTAAACTGGTTGAGTCGGCCCTTTACAAGGCTTGTGACGAGCCATTGGACGTAGAGAGGGTCAATAATTATACGTAGGGTAAGGTGGGGCACAATGTTACACGGGGTACAATGTTACAATGCATATTTCTCCGTCCCTTTTTATAGTTGTAAGATGTTCAGCGGCTCAGTTCAGCAGCTCTTATGAGCTTGACAAACGTGTATACCAACATCATACAACTAATAGAAAGCTGAACATCTTACAACTATAAAAAGGGACGGAGAAATATGCATTGTAACATTGTACCCCGTGTAACANATTTAGAATAATAGGAGGTTGAAATATTAAGGATTCGAAGCTGTTTGAGAAAAGGGGGAAAGTAGTAATTTTAGTAATGGGACATGGGAGACGACCAATGATAAAAAATCAATCATTGGATTGGACTGTGGATTGGACATTGCTCCTGTCATTACTGTCACTTAGTCAGTATTACTAGTTTAGAAAATTATTTACCCCTAAGTTTAAAAAAAAGTTTGCGTCATCAATCATGGCTTCTGGCATTACCATGAAGATAAAAATGGAGGCCACACTCCGAATACCTACTTGAAGCACAACCTATGTATCACTATCTCGCTCTCTGTGGGCAGACTTTCTCTTTCTAATTAAACAAAAAATATAAATTTGCTCAGTCAATGAAAAATGGGTATATGAGCCGACACTAGCCCATGTTAACATGGTTATATAAATGGTATGGTGAAGTCAGAAAATTGATATCTTCATTTTAATTATTTAATTTTTCATACAAATCGGATTTTATAAAATTTATTTTGTATGAAAATTAAAAAAAAAAAAAAAAATGATATCAAATTTCTGACTTCACCATACCATTTATATTATGCCCATGGTAACATGGGCTAGTGTCGGCTCATAATATACCCATTTACCTAACACCCTGTATACGTTTTTCTACTATGTCCCGCTTCTGACGGAAGAATCCCGCTATTTTCACTCAAAAAGTACCAAAGTCCCGACTTGGCAAAAAAAAAAAACTGGTAACGCTGTCGTGAGTTGACGCGCTCTCTGCCGTCACGGCTTATACTAAGCTGATGCTATTTTGGTGCATGTACCTTACTGTTTGGTTTTATTATAATTATCTATTTGTTATTTTATTTTGTACTTGCATCGAATAAATAATTTTTCTTTCTTTCTTTCTTTTACTGAAACTACTACTGCGGCTACGGCTTTGGCAATCTTTTCTGCGACGAAATTAATTTTGTTATCGATCAGAGGGTAACATAATTTTGACTTTGGCAACATATTTTGACTCAAACACACACACGCGCACAGTGGGTTGGGTAATACCATGAAGCTACAGATAAAAATGGAGGCCACACTCCGAATACCTACTTGAAGCACAAACTATGTATCACTATCTCGCTCTCTGTGGGCAGACTCTCTCTTTCTAAATAAACAAAAAATATAAATTTGCTCAAATTCAATGAAACTCAATGTAAAATCTTTATTTCTTGACATAGGTATCATTAAAAATGATAAGTGTAAATCATAGAGAAAAGTAATACATAGGAAATAGAGAGCCCTCTCTGTCAAATTTTTGAACCTATTAATTGACAGCCTGGTGTTAAATTCCCTGTACTTAACCTACGTACGGAACGCTCACATACATACATAGTCCACGCACACATACATACATAAAGTCCACGCACACATACACACAGTTCACGCACACAGTTCACGCACACATAGGCCCTCATAACCTTCAAAGAATTATTGTTTTTATGATGTACAATGTAGAATTTTTTCAAACCCATTATTTTGAAAATATTTATCTTTATGGTGTACGTATTGTATTATTTTCAAAACAATGGATTTGGAAAAATTCTACATTGCACATGGAAATGCAAATAAACAAAAGCTTTAGAATTTAATAATTTTACTTTATTTATGAACACATATAATATTATACACCAAAAGCGTCTTTTCGCAAAGTTTTCAACAACACTAAAAAAAAAAAAAAGCATTTGCACATTGAGAAAACTCAGATCACTTGTGAACATAACAGAAAGTTTCTTCGCGATTCACGAAGGAACGAACAAAACTGCGATGAACCAGAACAGCAGCAGGTACGAAGGAATGAACTTGAATTTGACTGACTCGACTCTTCAATACTTTAATAGGGCCACAGAACACTTAAACGATGGATAAGAAAACAAGAATGCATTTAACATAGCAAAAACAACACCGGCCATTTTGGAGGAAAAACAAAGTTNGTGGACGATGAAAGTTTGTGAGACTTGTCAAATTGACTTGACGTTTAAAATCATGTGTTATCTCCATATTGTCTATGACTTGTCTCTGACACATCAGTGCTGTAACCTGTGAGTCATAGACAATAATCTGTAAATTTAATCGATATCATTTTAAGTATTCACTTATTCCGATTACTGAATAATTTGAAATAAAAATTAAACGATACTTTGTTTAGTTTTCCAGCGATAACTTCGACAGATAACGTAAAATTATTTTTCTACTTTTAGTGTATACTTTTTCGGAGTCAGTTTAATTTTTAGTCGGTTTTATTTAAACGAAATTATTTTACTTTTTTTTGCAATTATGCTTACGTATTGTTCCATTGCTTCTTTTCCTATATAAGTAAATAAAAGAAAAGAAAATAAAAATATTTTTTCAATTGATAGCATCTTAAATTACCTCCCTAGTGGAATAGAGCAACAAAGAACTGAGCGAGCGAGATGTCACTAGTAGCAACACTGTGAAACAGAACTTTTTGCAACTATTTGAAGTTTAATAACTACGGATATCATTGATTGTTTACTGTCCAGTGTGATTTTTGATTACATCTGTGCATACAGTTTGTTTCCTGATCTCGAAA